AAGAAATTACATTTTAAGGATCAACATTTAACTTTAGCAGCCAACATTGAGTTTATAATACTCTATTTACTCAAAAATCGACTAACTATTATTCTATAAGATCTTTAAAGTTTTGAAGTGGATACTATACACCAGTCTCTAAACATAAACCTTGCAGAATGACAGTGAATTGATAATAAAACAAATACTATCTCAGATTAGTAAAAGGTTATTCGCAATGAATGTAAGTATAATACATACATAAGAACTTAGTCACTTTACGTAAAGCTTATGTTTAAGTGTCACAATGATCATAAAGCTTTCAAAGGTTCCTGCGGTTACTTAATTTCATTTGAATTTCAATACATTCAGCTTTAGGTGTCAAAGCTGTGACAATTAATAATGATAGTTTAAATAGTGCATATGAGCATTTCATTTATTTTATAATTAACGTGGTCAGTCATGGATTCATGTATGTCGGTGTTGTTATTATCTCCACTTTTAAAACGAAGTGCACAAAGAACTAGATCAATGCAATGAAATTGCCACTGATAGATATTGCCAACTAATCGTAAACATGAAAGAGGGGAATATTGACATTCGGTTCTTAAGTATATAAATGAAATTATTACATGATAGTGAATGATTTTTTATGTATTCACAGACGACAACAGAATTATATATCCATAACATAAACATTAGGTATGTTTACATATTGTTAACACCTTCCTATAATATACCTAACACTTTTTAAATTTCCTTCTTATGTGTTATGAATATATTACATACTACACTTAATGTGAACGAACAGTAACACATAAATAACATATCCAAATTTTTTTTGTAATGCTGGTGAAACAAAGATAAACTTACCATTTGCAGAGCTGTCACCAGGTAGAGGTTTGCAATAGGTATGTTCTAAATGTAATCCTGCAATTTCAAATCAATATTTATAATTGGTGTTAATAATACTTTACTAATATTGTAAATGTATGCAGCATATTTATTACTTAATTAATAAATGGCAAACACAGTAGGTATATATAGTTTGCATCACAGACTAATTACCTACGTTTACAAATTGTATTAAGTTTTTAATTGAAAAAATATTAGGTACACTAATTTAGATGAACAACAAAAGTTTGTAAAGATCTCAGTATAGGTACCTAATAACGAGATATCGTATTACTGCATATACTTACTCGAAGGGATATGTAACTTAGGGTAGGTTTCTTTCTTCAATCGATTATTTGTGGTGTGATCCCCCGCAACAAAATGTTTATCACAAACTCGATATTTTTTATAAACGACACTGAGATCCAAGTCTAAAAGTTCAATGTTATTAATTATCCGCAGCCACTTCTCACAGAGCTCCCTCAAATTTTTCGGGTTAGGAAACCGATGTCTAGCATCCTCTTTATCTGGCACACAGTTAGGAACTACACAACCGGTGAGACCCATTTTAACTCGTACACACAAATAATTATGAACACAATTCATGCGATACGATAATTTACAATTTTCAGAAGATAACCAAACGAACCAAAGATAAGATAAGATAACAATCATAGATTAAGTATAACAATTAACAATAGCCAACTGCCAAACGCCAAACTTTTAATAATCTAAAGCGCCCCACACACCTTCGGGCTTCGTGACAGTTATAACCAGAGAGCGGACAATTTGTGTCTTTAACCTTGAACATAGATATGTCATTCATAAACCTATATACATTATCCATGACGCAGTGGCGTGTCGGATATGCATCGGAAATTTACGTGATAATTCACAAAAATTCCACGGTACATACATTTTTAGGCGTTATAAAATATTTAGAAAATCAGAAATTGTATACTACATATTTATTAAATAAAGTTCGGTTAAAAATAGTGTCGTTCTTTTAATTGGAAATTAGGAGTCAATGTAACGAATAACCTCAGGCGACGCACATGATAGAATAGTCCAACTCACGCTCCATT